TGTTGTTGTTGTTGTTGATGTTGCTGCTGTTGCTGTTGTTGTTTTTGTTTGTTTTTTTTGTTGTGTTGTTGTTGTTGTTCTTGTTGCTGTTGCTGTTGCTGTTGCTGTTGCTGTTGCTGTTGCTGTCGCTGTTGTTGCTGCTGCTGTTTGCGTTGGTGTTGCTGTTGCTACTGGTGTTCTTGTTGTAACCCCTACAGTTCGCAAGCGGCATCTTAGCTGTGCTAACCATGCTTCGGGCGCAACTCTAAAGGTCTGCAACGGGCCGCTTTGCGAAGCCGAGGACGGCCCTCTGCTTGAGAGGTTTGAGACTGCATCGGAGCCTCGTGCCTGTGCGAATTGCCGGGTCCCAAATCCCTTGCGACAGCAAGCTCTGGACGAGCTGGAGGTAAGCGGTATGGTTTCCACATTTCAGCGCGGTGGAAGGAGCAGTATTTGGTTTACACCAGATGTTGCGAAATTGGCGGATGGCGAGCCGCAGTATTTGTCTCCCACCTGTGCTATTCTGCTATTATGTTTACAAACGAACCTGCCGCACCAAGCCAAACAAGGAGCAACTCCAGTTCTACATTGACCGTCTTCTGAACTTGGGTACCCTGAAGGAAGCTTTCAAGACGAGGTCACTACTTCCCGTCGACTTTTCTGACGAGACACCCAGGGACAGTCAAAAGATTTCTCTGCACAGGTTTGCTGGAATTCTGGGTTTGCGCCTCTACGAGGGCTTTCTCACAAGCAGGACCTGGATTGCCCGGGTGCGACATAGCCAGTGCGATCGCGTTCCTCCGACCGACGAGAGCCTCTGGCGTAGCACCGGTGCTCAGCTGCCAGCGCCTGGGAACAAGTCAGACGCAGGAGAGGATGTACGCAACTTTACGCCTGCAACTCGAAATCATCCTCCCAATGTTGGCCCTGATGAGTACAATGACTATACCCCAGGGATTTCTCTTGCTATGAGCTGCTATGAAGTGCCCTTGCGGGGCTGGGATACTTGCCGCCTCCCACGTGAGGAGTGTGACAACCCAGCGGGCTCCGCCCAGGTCCAAACCCTCGAGATTGTCAACTTCTGACAATCTGAAAGGCCGGAAATTGTCAGAAGCTGACAGTCTCGCGTGCCTCTTGCCGCCTCCCACGTGAGGAGTGTGACAACCCAGCGGGCTCTTGAGGGGGAGGTCGGGCTACGGCTACGGCCCTCCCAGTTGTGTTCGTTACTGTCCTGTTACCGTGACGGGGTCAGGTCGGCGACGACATGTGACATGCGACATGACTGGTAAGCACAGCGCACACTCTTTTCGATTGACTGATCGGAGCGAAGTTCCCAGTCGGCGAAGGACACAGAGTCTCATGCCGCAGCGCCTTTGGCGAATGACGACCCCACCGGTTTCTAAAGCGAGGGTGTTTCGATCAGGCATGCAACGCCATAGCCGAATGGGGCTCATGACCATGTGGCGCGGGCCTTCTTGATGCCCTGTGCATCCCGCTCTGAATCCCCGCCCCTCTTAAAATTTGAAGCTTTAGCTCGAATCAGGTCTGCATGGACAGAAGAAGCCGAGCTCAAGAGATCACACAGAACGATCCAATCGATCTGGGCCCCATCAATGATCAGCCTCCTCTCAGGAGTGAAACGATCATACTTCTGATTTGTCACATCGTCGGCCCACTCATTTCTTTCTCGTGGCACCCAACTCAAGTCCAGCAATTGATCCCCCCGTCTGAGAGTCTCGGCCTGATTATCTGTGCCACCCGTAAGATGGCCCAATCCTTTTCCATGCTACTTCATCTTCTCTCCCCAGAGCTTCACACAGATCAGCGTCCCAAGAAGTTCGAGGCTCGCAATAGTATGCTTTAAGACCTTCTTGGTGAACGCCCAGATGGCCATCCCAAGGGTAGCCTCCGATCGGAGCTCGCCAGCTTCGCTTTTGCGTCCGAGAAGAAACAGAGTCCGCCTTTCGTTGGCGCTGAAGGTATTGCCGTGGGCGCTTGTAACCTGCCGCCCGAGCTGAAGTGCTGCGACATCCAGCTCAGAATGGTCGCACGGGTTGCCGACGACCAGGCGTAAAGAGGGCCAATAAATGGGCGCTCCCAGGACAGAGCATTTGCGCCAAATCCCAGCCGCCCCAATCCGCACGCAAAGTCATCCCAGGTGACTCTCCCCTCTGCCGCGATCTTGGCGGTCCATTCCGCCACCCAGGCGGCTCGTCGTTCATTCAGCCCGCCTTTCGTCTTTGACCACTTGAAGCCAAAGCCGAGACACGCAAGGATTGCATACCGGGACTGGCGGCCACGTCGGATCTACTTCAGGTTCCAAAGTGCCGAGTCCAAAGTGAAGCCGCGTCCCAACAATAGCTTTCTGTCCTCTTCTCCGCCTTTGCCACCGCGTATCCAGCAAGGACGAGACGCGTCCCATTCCAGTCCTCTGTGGCATGCCAGCGCTGGGCATCGAACACAATCTTGCCCCTTCTCCATCCCAAGATCTCTCCCTCCATCTCCACGCCCAAGACCCGTCGCCTGACGGACCCGCCGTCGGCCTGGATGCAGAGACCGCCCCACCAGCAGATTCTCCCAGGGTCCATTTGTGGAGTCGCGGTGCGGGGGCTGTTTGAGATCCCTGAAGAGAGCAACCGAGGAAATGATTTTACCTGAAAATCCGGGAAAGCTGCACAATCAGCCTCGCCAAGAGCACGCTCGCCCATTTGTTCCAGTGTAGTTGCATCCTCTCAATTGGTTCTGCAGTTTCTTGTTCCAATTGCTCCATTGCAGTTGCTTCCCTGTCAGTTGGGTTCGTTGCCAGATGCTCCATTGCAGTTGCTTCCTTTCACAGTTGCTTGAATGCAGTTGAGCGGTTTGTTACAGTTGCTTAGTCCAGTTGCTTCGTGGCAGCTGCTTCGTTGCAATTGCTTCGTTGCAGTTACTTCGTTGCATTGGAGTTGTTTCGCTGCAGTTAATTTTCTCACGCCGTTCGTTATAGTTGCTTCCTTGCAGTCAGTTGCTCCGTTGCAGTTGGTTTTCCTCATGCTGCAGTGCCCGTCGTTGCAGTTTGCTATTTTCAAGCGTGTATTGTCGCTTCGTCGTGCCAACGTAAGTTTTGAGGGTGCATCTGGGGTGTCCTTGGGGAGGGTACAGGGCTTGTTACAAGAGATGCTTGAGAATTCGCCACTTCGAAGCGTGGGCTCGGGGTGGTCGAGAGTCGTCGGGCTGCAAGTCTTTGGCTCTGAAGCTGCAAGTTCTCGGCTCCGAAGCTGCAAGTCCGCGGCTCCGAAGCTGCAAATCCTCGGCTTCGAAGTTGCAACTTTCGGCTCCGAACCTGCAGCGCTCGGCCCCGAAGCTGCAAGTCCTCGGCCCCGAGGCAGCTCGGAAGCTGGAGCCCGTAACATTCCTTGAGCTGCGGCCGTCAGGCCGTCGAATCGACAGCGCTCGAAAGTAACGAATTCTCAAGCATCTCTTGCAACAAGCCCTGCAGCTGCCATAGAGTGGGGCGCCGGGCTCTGCGGCGTACACTTCTGAAGTGACCGGCGGCTTGTGTCACGCCGACTTCTACCTTCCCGCCGGCACCAATGAGCCGCAGCTCGTTGATCTGCAGCCGCTTCCACCGCCAATCCCAGGAACTGAGGTGGGAACACGGATTTCTCAAATCCGGGAGAAAATAAAAAGAATTGTAAATGCGGATATGTCAAAGAGCCAACCTGAACTATATTTCATATGAAATCGCAGACAAGTGCAGCTCACTGTTACGACATGTGACATGCGACATGACTGGTAAGCACAGCGCACACTGATGTTTTCGATTGATTGATTGATCGGAGCGGAGTTCCCAGTCGGCGAAGGACACATGAGTCTCATGCCGCAGCGCTTCTGGCGAATGACGGCCCTACCGGTTTCTAAAGCGAGAGTGTGTCGATCACCAGGTTGGGAGGGTGGGTGCCACTTGACCCTCGTGGCTACAACGCATTGCGCATGATTCTCATGCCCGCGAAGGAGCCAACGGAACTCCTACAAGAGTTCTCAACACCATCCCACCAACCACCCCATTCCACCACCAATCCCCTTTAGATGCAAGAGCCGTGATGCAAAATTTGAGCCGCAGCGGCGCTACTCTTTGGTCGTTCAGAAATTGTAGAACTGGGAGAACTGGACGTGCTGGATGAGTTTTCTGTAGTAGAGGAACTCGTAGATGTGGTAGAATGACGACGACGTCGGCGCTTAGGTCGGCATTTCTTTTTGTGATGCTTTGCCATTGCTACCACTGAAACCGAAGGATACTATAGCGGATGAACCAGACATTAAAGTGAAAAGTGAAGAGTGCAAGCAGTTGAGACATGAGCGAAGCGATGCAAAAAGATGCAAAATACTAAATCTTTTTGCTAGCAAAGACTGCACCTCAGCACCGAAGGCCGCCGCTGCTGCCATTAAGCTTGTATTTTCAGTGTCTGTTTCCTCCACTTGAGAAGGCACTGGCACAGGCACTGGTTGCGGTCCATGTGCAGCTTCTGAAGTGCCACATGCAGCATTGGCTCCAGCTCCCAGTTGTTTTAACTTGTCATCAGCCACAGGATTGCTGGGTGGCTCCTCCATGCTCCGACTTCATTGTTGGAAGGGTCGCTAGCTTGAGAATCCTGCTGGTCAGGTGTCAGTGCTAGCCCGTGAGTTGCAAGCTTGGCTTGAGCTTCAACCAAAGCTTCAGAATCGTCGGTGGAAAATTTTGCTGGAAGTTTCGTGACCCACCAAATCTGACGACAATTTCTGCACAAACTTTGTGGCATCATTGTACTTGTCGGGAATTCATCCTTGAAAAATGCTCGAGAAACTTCGTCGATATCGAGATCCGATTCTCTGGTTTTTTCAAAAAATGAGTTGGGAAACCGGCTTCCGATGCGGATCGGGTCCAACCAATTCCTTGCTACCGTTCTTCACTCAAAAGACGAAATGAGAACTCAGAAAAGGGACAATTCCCACGCCCGGATGTCCTCAAAAGGGCCTCCTGCCAAGCTTGGCTTGCGGCTCCACTCAGCGGGCTGGACTTCTCGAAAAAGTTGATGGCCTTTTTTGCCTACTGGCTGACGATCCCAAAACTTCTCGTCAGAATGAAATGACACTGGAAGAGTGGGCTTCGGACTTGTATGTGTTGCCGAAAAAGGCAGCGACGGAGCACAGTCGCCAATGTTAGACCAGCTTTACCCGAAGACCCACCTTGTTGCCAAGTGTTGGAGCGATCAGTCCAAGACTTGCCGTACCAGGCAGACATGGCTTCTCAACTGAAAAGATCGGTGGGAGGATGTGGCACCTGTGATCTCAACCGTTCCTTGTTGGCCCAAAGAGGTCTCCGGGCTGATCAGATGCATTGCTTCAAGCACAGCCAAGCAGAAAAAAATAGCCAGATAGCTACTCGTTCAGGACCTTGGCTGTGTTGACATCACTCTATTGAACAGCGCAGGGTTCTGCAGCAAGGAGCCGATCAGGGCTAATCCAATTAGAGCCGATCAGGGTTCCGAACCGTACAGGATTCAACGCAGTAGGCAATCCATCCTACCGTAGACGGCACATTGAACGAAAACCCGTTTAGTTACACACTTGTGTAATCCTGCCTCTGATTGACGTGTTCACAAAAGACACTCCTAGTTTCAGAGGGGAAGACATATAGCGACTAGGCAGCGTATTGGTGTTCTAGACAATGCAGACAACACTTGCAGAATCGATTGCAGGTACGCTGGGTTGATCAGACCCAGTATCAGCCGTGGCATAGCCCTCTTCGTTGAGCAAACAGCTATGCTAACGGGGTTGCCCCCTTGCTGACAGACATTGAAAGCCTTCAGAGTCCTATCCCGTGGTAACAGGGTTCCACAAACACACACACACAGACACACACCCACACACAGAAACACACACTCACACACAGAGACGCACACACATAGACACAGACACACAGAGACATAGACACAGACAGAGACATAGACACAGACAGAGGCAGACACGGACACAGACAGACACAGACACGGACGCAGACACAGACAGACACAGACAGACAGACACACACACACACACGCACACAAGCAGAGACAGAGAGCACGCATGTGCTGGATTTGCGACGTCAAATTGATTTACTACAGCGGGTTTTCCGATGGCTTGGTTTGCGCGATGCATCACAAGCTGCCTGGTGTTGTGGTCATGTCTTCCTGGTCTGATTCACGGCCTCTCACTGTTTGGGGATCTCTGCTGGCATAGTTAGTTGCGGTGTCAAGGTGTAGCCGCAGACTTGACCACCTCATGCAGTTGGGGCATGCTCACAACTCGGCCTGGGTAACGTGCCATGCAAGAATTCGGCAGCACAGCGCATCGCTGGCCAAGGGCCGCTGTGCGCACAGCTGCCTGCGTCGTCTTCATCAGGATCTTCAACCATCTCTACCCAATCGCCGCTGCAAAGCACAGCCCACTTTCCACTGTCAGGCGACAGTATCTCACACGACGGCCAAGCAGAGCTTTGAACTACCCGCCAGGCGCATCCTCTGTCGCTTGACGTCCGGGTACCTTGACGATACCCATCTTCCTTTCGAGGTGTTGTACCAGGCGAAAAGGCTGTGATTCCTGCAGCCTGAGCTGCAATGCTTTCTGGGTCCGCAGATGAACATGGAATATCAACCCAAGTACCTCCATATTCTCGCATAGATGCCAGCACATAGACTTGCTTTGTCTGCCCCGTTTGCCGCGCCTGCGGCTGCAGCAAGAGGCTATCTTCTGAAAGAAGCCCAACTTCCCGGAGCATCGTTGTAAACTGGCCGAGACTTCGCTCCAAAGCCGTGTGCAAATGATCCCAAACTTCTCCTTCAACACCATACCTCAAAAGCTCCAGTAGGGCATCGATCGGGGGGTCTGAACGATCCATTAGCAACATAGCGTGCTTAGCCACATCCTTCTCCTTCTCATCGCACGCCTCAAGTGCCGACAGCACTTCAGTCAGCGATAGGGGATCAGTTTCGGACTGAAGCTTGCGCACACAAACTGCCGCTCGTGAAGCAGCAGACACGTGCCCTGAAGCCAGAAGCCTCTTCGCTGCTTTAAGGACACTGTTCAAGTCCAAGCCCTCGTGCTGAGAACATGAAGCAGGCGAAGCATGCCTCTGGGCGTGGCATCCGATTGCCTCGAGTGGGGTCGCAATCTTGCGAGCTCCACAGGCTTTGACATCAGGCCTGGCCGCCAAGAACCCCTTTTTCATCCTCTTTCATGCAGTAACTGCAGTTGCTCTTGGCTCTTGTTCTAAGACTTAGTATCGCCTGGCCGATGGACTGACAACTTGATGCTGCGTCGTGTTGCATGAAATGCCTGATTGTGCACAACAGTCGCTGCAACGAAGTGTTGAATTTCACACCTTGAACCATGTTCTGACAGATGCCGACGGACACTGACGTCGAAGCTTGCGGCGTGGATGCCAGTAACTTTGTGCCGTTACTAACCCTGGCAATTCCCAACATGCCATCCTCTTGAAGATTCGACACGGACGCCTCACGATTTTCTGAGGCTTCGGTGTGCTTGGGGAACATAGAGACATAACCTGTCGCCCTTCCACGGGTCATACATTCAGTTTTATCATAAGGACTCCTCTAATTTTATCGCACTCGGCAATGGAGCAGGAAAGGGACGCCCCCCTCCCATATTGTTGAGAGATATAGTAACCTCCACGTAACAGAAAACAGCTTCATGAAGGACCCCGCATCGTAAATTCCACTATCTGTGCCTCTATGCCTTGGCCCTCTGTCAGTCTCTTGTGGGGTTTGGAATGGAAATAGAGCTCCTGCCAGAGTCCCGCGCTGATTTCCCACCAAAGTGCCACGCAACATTGCACGGAAATCGGGGTGCGACTCGTGTTCCCGCCACTGCCGCGAGTGTTTCGTCAACGTTTCCGCCTCCCTGAATCAATCGTGCTCCCGCCTGGCAGGCTCGTGCTGTTGCAGACTGCCACCAACACAACCAGACCACAGCCTTGCAAGTCTTTTTCAATCAAGCAGGGTTCGGGTCCACTATAAACCTGCGGAGTGCAAAGGTGACGATCAAGCTGGGCACAGCAAAGAGCAGTCCGTAAGCCACGTAGAACATCATGTGCCAGTGTGGAGCCCCGGGGGCAGTCGGATCGCAGAGACGATAGACAGTGAGGAAAGCTAGAGGCCCCAATGCCGAGCTCACTTGGATCACCAAACCCATGGCTGACTGGAGCGTGCCCTGCTGCTCTTGCTTGACCGCCTTACCTGTGATGCCAATTATAACACAATTGGACATACTCAGGGTCCCTCGGAGCAAAAGACTGTTCAGCTTCACCTGCCAAGGCTGAGTCGACATCATTAGCGAGAGATGGGAGATGCCAGCTGCCACCGTAGCCGATGCGATAATGCCGACCTGTCCCAGGAATGGCCACAACGCGCTCACCCCTACTGTCAACCACAGCATTTGAGAACCTTGCTCCAACATCCCATTGACATAGGTGTCTTGACGGGACCAAGCCAGCCGCTGCTGCAAAAACTGAGCCGACAGGGTGTAGAAACCGTTGTAATGGAAGGAATCGAAGATTCCCATTGCTGTGATCTTCTCCACCAGAGGACTCTGAAAAAGTATCCGTAGTGCAGATGTTGGCAGAAGACTGGACCAGGCAAACTTGACACGTTGCTGGTGTGGTACCGTCAAGGACTCTGGCAAACAGAAGATCGCAATCAGCAAGCAGACGAGCTTCCCCAACATGCCAAGCAGCATAGCGCTCTTTAAGCTCAAGCTGCTGCCCAGCAGAGAACCTAAAATCGTCGAAAGAATGCAGGAGCTCTCCACCATGGATGCTGCGAGAACGAGGCTAGGGGTGTGGTCAATGCGGTCTATATACCAGGCAATAGGAATGGGTTCGAACGGAATCATGCCAATGAACTGCACTCCGAATTCCCACCATATAGAGAGGTCAAACCATGCGACCGCTGCCGCTGCCATAGTGGGAAGCAGCAGGGCAACCCGTATAAAAAGCACTGCAGGTCTCCTGCCGAAAGCATCGCTGACGGCACCGAGTGCAGGCCCAGCCGCAAATTGGATCACGGGGTGAGCAAAGCCTTTCGCAACTTTAAGCTGCGTAACATCCACGGCAGCCCGGCTGCACGGCAAAGATTGCATTTGGCTGGAGCAGTCCAGTGGCAGACCATCAGAAGAATACTTCTGGGCAAAAGAATTCAAATACATGTAATCTAGGCTTGGCGCAGAAACACCGTAGGCAAACAGAGACAGAACATGAATGATCCACATCGGGGCCACTCGTGGAATGATGTAAGAGAAGCTTCGCGGTTTGTTCGCCAGTGTCTCCGTTTCTTCGTTCAGAAACTCAGCCGCTTTGCCACGGTGGCGCCTGAGCAGAAATTGGGCCACGCCAAATGCAAAAGCATGAGGCAGAACGACAGAGGTCAGGATGGGAGCAATGTACTGCTCGGCTTGCTCAAGGATTTCGACAGTCAGGGACTGGCGGTGCAGAGGCAGCGGGGCCGGCGGGGCCTGCGAGCTGTGCAGGCGACCGGACGTACGTCCCAACTCTGCACTCACTTGCAAGAGTTTGACCTGAAAAATCTCTTCCAAATCCGATCCGTCTGCACAGTCGCCCTCCTGACACTGGAAGCGCGGAGGGGTTTCTTGTGAATGTACAGTCGAGCATAGCACAGCCCCGAACAGGCACAGTCGTCGCATGATTTCATGGCTATGCCTTGGGCCAAGTGCTGCAGCAGTCTTGCATGCAAGCGGCCAGCTTGTACGAGCAATCCTTTGAGCCTTTCTGAGTTGGGTTGATCTCGTCAGGTTGAAGCGTTCCCGATACTGGCAGAACTTGTCCTAACCTTCCAACATTCCCCGGTCGAAGAACGCTCCAAGCAGGTCTGTCCGCTTTTACTTAGAGACTTCTTGCCTAAAGAGGGCGCTGCGGGACCTGTACGACTGTTCTGCTAGAGCATGCTGCATGGCTGATTTGTGCCCGACAAAAGCAATTTGCTCTGATGCCCACAGAGGTGTGCCTGTCTCTCTCTCGCTCTCTGACTGTGTGCATCGAGACTGACACTTTGCTGGCAGCTTTGAGGACAAGCCAGTACGTGTGCCTTTTTTGGATCAGTTAGAAGTGCTGGTCTGGTGTTGGCACGTACGGCAAAGGCTGCAGTTTTCTCCATCTCGCAGCAGACACGCCCTCTTCAACAAGCTACAACGGCCGCGCTGATGAAGAGGCAGTTGTGGCCGCATGGAATGCAGCCAAGCTGAACACTGCAGGTTCTTCTCAACCTGGGTGAAAACTACACAGTTGCATTCAAGGAGACAAAGGCTCTGGGGTGAGACCCTTGAAGATAGGCTCATCCGAAAAGGCCCTTATCACGCGCAGGTATCCCGTGGAACCTTCGGAGAACGAAAGCAGGTTTTGCCTTTGGACATGTGTGTTGCTCGGGACTAACTACAGCTTTGAAACTCCCCGTCTCAAGGGACTGAGCACCTCAATTGCAACTTCTGGGATGCTTGAAACAAGCTGCGGGATGGCTTGCCGTGGGGTTGATCAGGATGCTGACTGCACCGTGGCTGCTGCATCCTGCAATGAGCACAAAGGTCTCCCTTCCGTTCATGAGGAGTTGATGCGCACATCCTCTCAGGCTCCAAAGATGTCCTGTGGAAGTTCCATTTGTCCAACTCCGCCACCGTGCTGGTCGACGAAGAAGACCTCTCGGATCGCGTGGAACACAGGTGCGTGGCATCGTTCCTCTGCATGGTTTGGCCATATCGAGCCTTCCCTGTTGATCGGGAGATCACGCGTATCCACCCATCCGGCAATGGCGGCCAACCTCCAAAAGCAACAAGCCGAGCTTGGTAATCAAAGTCTCATGTGCTTTTGTGGCAGGAGCTTGTGCAGATGCGACGCACCTTTGAAGAATTGGTCTTGTACCCTTCTCCATCCTTCAACCTGGGCCAAAGCTGTTATGCTTGAACCCCTCATGCTGCATGCGGCATGCCGGCCTGACGAAAGGCTGGGAATCTGATAGTTCCGAGGCGGTAAGTTACGCAGAAGCGACCCCACCAGATGGTTCTGCAGAGATGTGTGGAATTGCCGGATCGGCTCAATCAACACTCCTAGCTGCCGCTCTGGAAGATACTTGGAGTCAGCACAATCCTTGCTCAGATTGAAAAAACTCTGATTGTTCACTGCCCAGGCGGGCAGACACGGAACGGCCAAGGCTCAACTTAATAAGTCCTCTTGCATTGAAGCCTCCTGCACAGAAGCCTATGGCATGTAGTGTGCTTTTTCATGCCGCCTGGACTGCACGGTGGTCCGCTCTGACTTGACGTCAATCCAAGGAGCCCGTTTAGCGGCCTCGCTGAGGGTGCAAAAGGTTGGAGTCTAGCATGAGGCATTCATTCCAGCGCCACTTTCTGAAAGGCATGCAGCTTGCATGAGTTTCCTGGAAACCGTGCTGGAACTCTGTTTACAGCATTGTGGCATGTACTTGTCTAGATCGTTTTGCGGGTAGGCCTGGTAGGCATCGTGGGTCGCGGGGATTAGGCAACACAGTGCTGCAACAACAGTGTTTTCGAATCCACGGCCACAGCTTAGACCTACTCTTGTTCGGGTACGTTGCTTGTGAAAGACTGAAACTCAAAGCAGCCTGCTTTTCCTTCAGAAGGTCAAAACAGGAGGTCCATGTGGAAAAGAGATCCAAGTCCTGCGAAGGAAGCAAATGTTGGGTTCGCCGACTTGCCCCGAGCTCCAAATATAGAATCCGCAAAGAGCAACTACAAAACAAGTTTCCCAGCCCAAATCAGCCTCACAAGGCGGAGATAGGATTTGAGCGATTCCACTTGGTCAAGATGGCCATGCGCCAGGGCCGCGGCAGTTACTGGAACTCGATCTGGCAATTGTTGCTGGCCTGCCCCAAGACTTCAGACTGTGTGGCTCAATCCATGAAGCGCGTCATGCTGCACCACTCCGCTTGTCCAGCTTACAACCTTCAACTGGGACGAAGCAGGCAGTTCTGTAACATTTCATGGCTGGCCCAAGCTTAAAGCGCCTTTCCGGCAGGCAATCACCAGACAGAACCGGGCCCGGCTGGTTTCCAATGCTCTGGATGTCAGGATTGGATTTAATGGCGATGCGCTCCGGGTCCGGGATCCGGTACCTTTTGCGGAACCTTTGCAAGGAGTTCTGACTTAGCGGAGATTCCCGAATAAAGCCGAACCGGATCCATGGTCCATGGGTTCCCAAAGTGAAAAGCCACCAGCGACACGTCACACGTGCGCGGCCCCCGAATTCTGCGTCCCGCGCTCCACACCCCGAAGCCAGATCGAATAGGAACGGTCCTTCTCGCCTTTTGCCTTTGTCTATATGCATCTCCCGTTAGCACTGCAACTCTGGCAAGCACTCCTTGCAGCGCATCGCAGTGCATGTAAACAAGGCGCACCCCGGCCTTGCGACATCGCCTGCCTAGAGGTGACCGATGTAGACCTTGCGTTGTCTCTGCATCCAAGAATGACATCACAATGTCGTTGTGGGCATATCCTAAAGAGCTGTTCCAAATGCGGTTCGAGCTGAACAGTCACTGCAGACCACGCTAGTATCGATCTGCATCGATGTTCTGCAGGCAAGACAAGTGACCTCAACGAAAGATGGGGGACTCTGCAAATAACCCAGCGTGCGGATCACGCCATCCAAGAAATTGCAATGTCTTCATCCGAGTATAAATGCCAACAGCAAGTGACTACCCACGTCCGTGCACATCCACACCCCTTGGCGCTGCCTAAGGCCGAAGCGAGCCGCTCGCACGCTACAACCTTTAGCTCTCGAGATATCCAGACATCTAGAGCCTGCTGGGCCCTGCTGGGCCGTGGAAGCAAAATCATGCAAAAAAAGGTGAAACGTTGTGTTAGCATCTGCCTCACTTAGCGTTACAAACTCAAGCGGGCAGATGGAAAATCAGCTTGGGCACTTCGTGGCACAGACGCTATGAGCAAGCGGAGCAAGGCCCTGCTCTCAGGATCTGTCTTCGACTGCTGCGGGATGTGTGCCAAACTCGTTCAGACAGCGTTTGTTGTCGGGGAGTCGGAGTGAAGACTGACGACCGCATCAGCAGCATGTCTTCCAAAGGTCCAAAGTTCGCACGAACTACATTAGCGGAAGTCTTCCATCTTTGCGAAGGCAGCCCATGAACATTCAGCAAGAAGACTCTCAGACTTAAATGCAGCAGACTGTTGACCCACGACTCTGATCGCGAGTAGTTAGAGGTTCCTTCGCCATCCTCTTCCCAGAAATCTGCAACAGTCCATGCTTGCGAAGTGTCTGCGCAACAGCTACGGTACTTCACACAAGACCTCTTCGTCTGATTCAACGCGAACTTCCAGCTGAGATGCAGCCATCTTTCTTCACTGAAGTGCATTATGTTCCACACTGCAGGCTCAGCCTCGGCAGCATATCACCTCCAAGCAAGATGCCAACTGAAGCATCTGGACAGTCTAGGCATGCTCTCAATACACAGCTACGTCTGCTAAGTCTTTCTTAACACCGAAAATTTTCCGGAGGTAAGTCGTGGACGCTTTCTTTTTGACGTCTCGTTTGACCCGGCTGTACGGCGAGATTGTGTCATCGAAGATGTATCTGAGTAGTGTGCCCAACCTCATGCAAATGAGGGAGGTGCTTGCACGTGCAGATCAATTACTTCGTCGAAACGCAGGGCAAACAGTGGCTTTGAGGAGGGAACCAAGAATTACATCTCGGAAGATTGTCATAGAATTCCGGCGCCATGTCACGAACCTCCAAGCTAAGCAGCTGAGCTCAAGTTCTTGTTTCCGTGAGTGTCAGCTCGTGCCCTTGGCAGTATGGCACCTTGGGAAGGTTGCCCCACGCAACATTGGGGAAGTCGTGATGCTCGTTGTGGTAGCCGACCTGTAGGAATGGAATATGCCCCTGGACGGCCGCTCCTGTGCTGAGCTTATGGCATTGTACGTCAACATGTTCAAAGGCCCGTAGTAGGAATATGTCTCCGTCTCGCCTGCCGAACATCTGCATGAAAATTGCATCCGACACCGTATCACCTGCACTATCGCTACCTTCCATCACGTAGTGCTCTGCGATAAAATGGCCAGCCGTCGGATGAATCCTGAACGTCGCGAACGTACGTAGCGAGAGTAAATGCAGAAAACAGTCGGTCAGTCTTCGACACGTGATCGTGTCAGGTGGTCAGGTTACGTGGACCAGTGGACTAGCTAACTTCCGAGGCCACGACGACCCTGCAAGGAAACTGGAGCCCAAAAACCAAATCATTACCTCAGCGCTTTCTTTCGATACTGCCACTGCGCCAGACTCTCGAACCAGCAATTTCTGCTCTTCACAGGGAGCCTTCGGACCGAAGAGGTACACCATCAAGCCGTCGAACCTTCGAAACGCCGTCAAGGGCTGCTCTACTGAACCCATCGCAGCAAGACTCTAAGGGACCCACGAAAACTGAACGATGTAGTTGACTACCATCCACACCTTGCCAGCATCGACATGCCAGCGATCACAACCTAATTCAAACCCTGAGGATGTCACGTCTCCCACAACAAGGGACGGTTTTACGAAGGTCGGGCGAAGCCTGGGCAAGATCTTGGCCAACTGACAGCGCAGTTGCTTGCAGCAGATCGCATCCCTGTCCCCGCGTTGCGGCACTGAGTGTGTGACGCGTAAAAGAAGATCTGCAAGAACATGAAGACCGCCTGTGATGCCGCAAGGATTTACGAAGGACTACGTAGCGACGTGTTCGCATTTTAATGCTGTTCTGTTGTTTCGAAGCAGTGGCCACACTGCAACTCCCGTGCAGGCCTGAGATGTGTCAGCAATATAATTTCTCGTGCAACGCAACTTGCTGCGACCGCTATGAAGACTAGCGGGTTGCCGAGGGATTCCAGACTGCCCACACAGCTGAAACACTTACATGCTGAAAACCCTGATGATGATGAACAGGCTTTCGCACTCTGTCAAGTTCGAGACGATGTCAAGCTTTTTGAAAGCAGTTCTGGGTAGACAAAAGCAGCCGTACACACCAAGAACATGTCTTTTTCAGATCGCTAATTCCCCTTCACAGTCTCAAAACTGAAAGCATCCAACAGAGCTTTCAGCAAACATTTCAAAAGCTGATCCACAAAATTTCTTGAAAGGCCTTCATATCCTGCATCTGTTTTGAATTTGAAAAACTGTTCCAGATGGTCTTAAGCATGTATTGCTTTCCATTGCTTGTTTGCTTCTCTATTTCTACCGTCTGGAAGCTCTGAAGGACGAAGCGTGACCGACTTCGAGGACACTGCGTGTTCTTCCTGAACGAACCCAACTTCCACCCTCCTGCCTGCAAACCCTTGCCCGAAGCCCGCACGCAAACCGCTCTGCATTTCTGACGGCCTCACCTGTCACGCTGTGCGCCGGCCCACACTTGTTCCAAGTCGGCGTGACATGGATTGAAAGCTTCGAGCAGACGAGGACGGAGAAGACGTTTAATTTCCTTGTCTCTGTCCTCTGGCGGCGTTGTATCTTCCGGATTCCTCCCGTCCCATTTCCAATATCTGTTTCTCCCTCTCTCTCCCTCCCTCTCCCTCGCTGAGTTTCTATTGCAATGTCTGTTCTCTGTTTCTCTCTGCACATCCTGACGTCCCCTCATCTCCGCATTCTGCAAGGCAGAATAACAGCGAATATACAAGAAAGAGCATACGGCAGGACGGCAAACTTGCCCGTATCCACAATTGAAACGATGCTGGCACCCATGGAACCAGGGCACCAGAGAGCAAACGCTATCACTATACATCCCTACAACTATAGATGGTTACGGAGTCTTCGTCCCCTACAGCCTGGACGACTTCAAGAATGGGCCAGAAGGAAGGCAAGCCTCGGCAACTTTAGAGAGCAAGCGACTTCCTCCTTGGCCCTGGTTTGTCCTCTTGTCTCATCTCCTCTTAAAGGACAGACCAAACAAGAAGATTACCAAAAAGGCCATCCCCTTCCACAACAGTCTGACTGGAGTACAGCAAGATCAAACGGCAGGAGTGAAGAGAGAGGGAAAACTCATGTCATCTCGATCCTTCGCTCTTCCGGCGGCACTGACATGCACCCTTGCTCGAGACAAACGGAAAGGGAAGCACAGGTTAGGACAGGAGAGGGAGGAAAAAGCTTCAGCCTCTCTTCTGTTCCTTCTTCTTGCTCTTGCTTGAACAAGACGAGAGACTCGAGAGACAGCAAGGAGAGAAGAAAGAGGGCTTGCGGATCGCTTTCTTAAGTCGTTGATGTTGAATGTGCTTGTTTCTCCGCAAATGAGAACGAAAACGAGAAAAGTATTCTGGAGCGAGAACGGGAGGATGCCCGATTTTCAACTTTCATTAGTGTTTTGGTCTTCGGAGTTGTGATGAAGCAACCTGGGGTCGGGAGCCTTATCTGATCTGCCCGGCTAGCTTTCGTACGATCACAGCTGTGTTATCCGTCAATGGTGTAAAACAGACAGGAAAGCTCGACCTTCACTGATTTATCGTAATGAATCACACGAGATCCCACTCACGTGCAAGATCCTTCGTAGTTAGAAAGTAGAGAAATCCTTAAGGCCTTAAGGCACGACACAACGGAGCTACTGCGTTCCTTACGTCGTGGTCAGAGATGCGAGAGCTCGCTCCAAGCACTATGCGAAAATGAGGGGGCGTTTGTGAACTGAGGAGTTCGTTTCCCCTGCAACAACAGAGATCAGAGCTTCTGTTTGCCGTCATGCCCACAAAAGCGAACACCAGGCAAGAGAGATCAACAACATCTCGAAGACAGGTAGCGGAGTTCCGACACAGTATTGCATAAACAAAGGATTCAGACCGTCCCTCTGAATCCGAAACATATATATATATATATACGAGGCATAAGTATGCACATAAACAAGTACATAGATGTATATGTGTATAACGTATATATATATATATATAATATACGTATAGTGTATGTATTATACATAAGTACGGATGTATGTATATGAGTATATCTGCAGATGAGTATGTATAATATGTCGAATTAACGGAGCTGTACCCAGCGGAGCTGTTTAGGTTTGACAAGAAGAGATCCTTTATCATTGCCTGTTGGGAAGGGGCAAGAAAACACCTCCATGATCATCCATGCCAAGCTTCAACACGAAAGACAACAGATCGCAGATCCCCCTATCATTGCAGAATAGCAAGGAAGGTCTTCCCTCCATCTTGTACGAGGCGATCAGAAACCTGTGTTTGTCGTGATTCCGATATCCGTGAGAACAAAAGACGACCGATCCTCAATTTTGCAATGCCGCCGTGCATCACCTTCGTCAGAAGACCCAAGACAGCTTGTTTAGCCAATGCGGCATAAAGCTTCGTCATGGTAGGACATGTCATTGACAAGTAATGATGAGATCTGCGTTGCTGTTGCATACGAACGGGGAATCTTCTCAAAGAAGAGATTTAAGCTGACTGGCCTTTACTCAGGCATAAGAGGCTCTATGAGCAATAGAAGACACCCTTTTGAGACACAAACGAGAAAGCAGTTCTCTTTCGTCACGAACATAACAGCCAATGTACCTGCACTTGTATACGTTCGTACATGTGACGCGCGGCAAATAACAGATGAATGTCCGGCGCAACTTTGTCTCCGTATAGCTGGAAGTTTCGTTCCCCGCCCCCTTCCTTTCTGTGGAATGGCTTGGGCTGCTTGGTTGAGGCTTCCGGCAGGGGGCACATGCATACCAAAGGAATGCGCCGCACGGCTTCTCAGCCTTGCGGCATGTTCGATCAAGATAGCAAGTCGAAGTGTCGGTGAGGAACCACCTGAATCTCACAGCGTCATTTGTCTACTGCTACGCTGACATGCATCTGCCATACGAACAGTGTCATTGCTGAATACAGGAAGAATCGCAAATCACCCTGATCCAACTCATGCAAAGCCAGCATGCTTTTCGACCAAGAAGCCCTTCCAATCGGGTCGGTATATCAGTGTCCACCCCATCCTGGCCCTGGTACCGGTGGTGCCTGGCAGCATGCCAAAACTCCTCCTCAAGTGAAAATCTGGCGAGGTAAGAAATGGAGAGCTCGCAGCCGTGCGTGACGCACACGCCCGCCCACCCACCCCACCTCTCCCGATCCTCGCCTATCCCTACCCCACCCCGCCCCACACACCCATGCACACACAAATGCAGAGACTGACTGAACAAAAACTTGCCAGCAGGTCTCCATATGATACCTTAGCTCTGGCATCTCGCTTCTCAGCTCATGCGGCGATTCTGACAATACATACACTCAGAAAGAGTTCATTCAATGTTGTGGCAGGGACGGCTTGAAGTTGATGGCGTAGGGAATGGCCTTGACAGCATAATCAGTTGTTGTGAGCTCTTCAAGTCCTGGTCTCGGGTGCGCCAACTGGTCCGATTCTGTCGTCTTGACCACAAAATGCTTTAGCCTAGGCCAAGGCTGTGCCTCGGAAAGATGCTGCTGGTGCTGCTTCACTTCTACTTAGGTCTCGGATGAGTATCTCAGTAAATCGTGTTCGTGGCATGCACAAGGATTCAATCTTCCAAACAGTATTTGTTAACTTACACTGCGTGGTTGTATCGTCTCCCGAAGGACTAAACGAAATCCAGCTAGATGTTACGTGAACATGAGCTAGCTAGTCATCAATGCATTGAAACAGAAGGTGCATTGTGGCTAGGCACGTGTTAGATACAGTAAGCGTCAAGCATGAGTATGCATGAGTGAAATCTTGATTGCAGCCTCCACACATCAAATGAACATTATTAGAATACGCTTTCCAACGATAACATGAATGTCGCGTATACATTAAACTAGGCCAACATCAACTGAAGTTAATGAAATAGTGACAGTATGCTGAGCAACTATCGACTGAGCGGTAGATGTTTTCGATTAGTCTCATTCATCATCTGAACACTGCATATTTGCGTTGACTGTGCTGACTGTAAACTAGCCCAAAGCCGTTGAACAGTTCAACACAAGCTAGTTCGATTTTGCTTTGACACTGTTTCCAGCAGATGCATAAAGACATGCATGATGCCGAGTCGCTCGCCCCTGCCTCCCCCGCCAATGGCTGTCTGTGACAACCGTCGGCTAGCGGCTGGGAGACCGATTGCAATTGCAACAGCCACGACTACAGCCTCTGCTTGCTGGAGCAGAGACACCCTAGGCGGAGAAGCCGAACCCGAACAAGACCACACGCACCACTCCACAGAGCGGCGGGAGGCGCCGGGGGGTTGATAGCAATGGGACGGTGGGGAGGCCGGGGACTCAGGCCCTGGATCATGTATCCTGCTAACTCAAAATCTTGTGTAAGAACTGGACTGTAGTGGCTATAGTAATGATTGATAGCTCGACGAGCAATGCCTCGCGCGCAAAACCGGCTACACCACCACCACCACCTCCACCTCCACCTCCGACCTCAGCCGACCTCCACCTCCACCACCGCCACCACCACCACCACGACCACGAACCACAACAAGAAGTCCAGACAACCAATATCTTGCAACTCCTTCAAGGCTGGTGACGCCGCAAGCGTTCTCAAACATCGTTCTTGGTGTTGTTTTGTCTCTTTGCTTGTTGTTGTTGTTGTTGTAATCGGCACGAACATCGTGCCCACCGCAACTGAAACGCAGCACAAGGCAGGGGATGTGACCCCTCGAAATGAAGTTCATATCATGCGAGTGGTGCTGTGTGCCACGACCCGCTCGATCGACCATTGCAGCCTCCCAAACTGAGGCCAATTTTCGGGGTCCTGGTAATGGAGTGCGAACCCCTTTTGGTATCTGCACATGTTTCTTTATCGTCAATGGGTTGTGAGTTGGGACGAAGAGTGGTGTGCATGCACGATTTATGACGCGAGCCGCACAAAAAAGGGACACACTGCATTAGTAGGACCACTTGAGAGCAGGCGACAACGGGGAATCTCATCCCAATTGGCTCGGGCATAGAGCCCGCTTTGGGCCCCCGGTCACGACGTCACGATCCCTTGTATACGACTATCAGGGTTTCTAGGTGGACGACGCAACTCATGAGTCAGTGCATTGTTTGCAACACACGGCAAATGTACTGCAGCAAGACCGGAGTAGAGTTCTGGTCGATGCAGCCACCAACCACACACTGCAGCATGCCAAACCTTCATGCCACTGCAGAGCCGAAAAGATTAAGACATTAAGAGCGAGGCAATGGGCAGATTGGCCACGAGAGAGATCAGCTTGTTACCCCATATCCTAAGGCACAGGGTACCGCGAGCCAATTGTCTGATTTCCACTTCTAGCCCAGATTCGGGACGTTCACGCAATCTGCTACAGGAATGGTTCGGAATGGTACTTGCGACTGACCTCTGGGGACCAAGAAACGGTAGTCAAAGCTCCGGAATTTCCATGCTCTGCTTTTTCGGCCATCTGGCTCTGGGGAACTATACATGCGTGCCATCGGCCGTTGGGAATCCTGCTGGGATTGCTCTTGCTGTCGGATGCTGAGGTGTGATATCAGTGGTGAAGCCAGACGTCGAATTATTTGCTCGTCATCGTCCATTGATGCATTGAGGTATTGCCCCTCTTCTGAAACCTCTGCACTGAGGAGGGCACGTAGAGGCGCCAAGGTTGTGAGCCTCAGCACAGCTTTCAGAAAACACGGGTTTAGGGGTGATTCTTGATCTTCTGTGTTCGGGTCTACGATATAGGTTATTTTGTGATTCTAGCTGTGTTCCACAAGGGATTTGCCTATATGTTGAACGTGTTTCGGATTTCAGAGATATGTTCATAATATTGTGTGTGTGATTTTCTCATTTTGGGCTGTTTCGGGGGTCTAAGATACACGATGATTGGATTTACGAGGACATCCAACACATTGTATTGTGCCTCGGATTGTGCAATCACAAACATGTAATAACATCCACTACAAACATCAACAACAGACGGGCGCAGCTGACCAGGGTTTTGTTCAGATGCTCCGAATCTTGAGGTCGCAGGCGGAGGGGTGCACCAGAGACAGGGAGGGAGAGATAAACATGTATGTAGACATTACGCCCCCCGCCCTTTGTCCTCATGTTGCTCTTGGTGCTGCTCTTGGTTCATAGTTCTTTGTCCTGCTCCTGGTTCACAATTCATAATCATTTGTATGGTTTTGAGGGGTGGCGTGCCATCTACACGTATATGTGTGTAGGTAAGTACGTATGTACGTATGTATATGTATGTATGCATGT